CCTGCAGCAGCAGCGTGTGCACGAGCTGGTGCACCTGCAGCAGCAGCATGTGCACGAGATGGTGCACCTGCAGCAGGGTGTGCACGAGCTGGTGCACCTGCAGCAGCAGTGTGTGCACGAGCTGGTGCACCTGCAGCAGCAGTGTGTGCACGAGCTGGTGCACCTGCAGCAGCAGCGTGTGCACGAGCTGGTGCACCTGCAGCAGCGTGTGCACGAGCTCGTGCACCTGCAGCAGCAGCGTGTGCACGAGCTGGTGCACCTGCAGCAGCAGCGTGTGCACGAGCTCGTGCACATGCAGCAGCAGTAACATCCACTCCACAGACAAGGACACCGTCTCCTCTCGTCGTATTTTTAAATAAATGATCAAAATTAAAATGCGCAGTGACTTTTATGGGCGGAGCTATGATCTGACGGATCCGATTGAACCGTTGCTGGAACGCACACGGTGAAAATGAGAGAGTTCCCGGATCTTGTTCCGGCAGGATCCGGCTCACATTAACCACTGGTTCCAGTCCAGAAAACCAGTCCCCCCTAAACTACCAACCTTCAGTGTTCAGCTCCGTCAGGGTCGGGGCGTCGCCGCTTGTTGCTGAATCATTTTCTCTTCTAGCTGCTACCTGAGTGTGTTTCTACTACCGGGGGGGGGGGGGTTGATGGGTGATGGTCTGTCTCCGCTGAGGGAGTTCTTGTTTAGTTGTTTATAATGTAGTAAATGTAGCAGCAGTTTGTTACACTGCTCTTACATCTTTGTCGTCACTACAGGAGTTCAGTCTCAACTAGTTTTGCTCAAACATTTTGATGTAACGGGTCTTTTAGTAAATCCCAGCTCCGTTGTTGTCTTGTTTACTTGATCACTGTGGGCGTGCACGTCACTGATCCTTGTGCTCCAAACAGAGATTCAGCATAAAACAGGAGCGTCCAAGCCGTCAGGAGGGTCTCTTCTCCTACATCCTCCCGATTGACCACGTGCTGATGGTCGACTGTAACGTGGGCCGTTCTGTGGTGTTTCAGAGAGTGAGGCGGAGCAGGAGGCCACCGACTCCATGCAGGAGCTGTCAGTGGAAACCAGCAGCAGAACCTCCTCCTCAGACTCCGCTGCAGAAACATCCACCTCCACCTGCACAGCTGCTGAAAACTGAGGAGCATCCACCTTTTTCTGGCTTCAGACGGAGGAAACTGACACGAAGACTGAAGCCCAGACTGGTCCAACAAAGAGACAAAAGTTATTTCTGACCTGCCTGAAACATCTGGAGGTGGCTCTGTGACGCCTCCATCGTCCTGCTGTCTCTTCTGAAGGTGGGTACCACACAGGCTCAGGTGTTGGTTCAGATGAACGTGGGACAAACAACGAGCTAAAAGTTCACAGCGTTGTTAAAACTGCCTTAAGAAACTGTAGCAAACCACGAGACACAAGGAGTGAGTGTCAGGGTGACGTGCACGCACCGTGCGCTGCACTGTGATGCTGCTGACTGTGGCCGGCCAGCGAGGAGCAGGAAGAACCACGGGAGTTTTTAATATCAAGCTTTGACTGATGTGATACAGTCACTGACTCCCCCTCTCCTGGGGGGTGACCTTGGGTGACCTTGAGTGTGACAGTGGTCTTCTGTGAACGCTGACTGTTCTCCACAGTTCTGTAATACATCTGATGAACACCTGAGTCCAACAAAGTTCAGTCAGGTCCTCTGGACGGTTTCTTCTTGTTGAGACGTTTAGTCTTTCATCCAAAGGACTTCATCAGTCCGAGGAGCCACAACAAACTCAGTCTTATAAACAGCACCTTCACACGGTGGGTCAACCAGTTTGGTGCTCCTTCCTACATCCAGGTAGAAAAATCCTTTCTACCTGGATGTAGGAAGGACTTCCTTTCTTTCCTGAAGTCCTTTGGATGAAAGAGGAAACGGTTGAAGAAGAAGAAACCATCCAGAGGAGCTGACTGTGTTAGACCCTGGTCTGTTTGGAAATCTTTTCTCCACGACACGAGTCAACCAGACGAGAAGTTCCTGATGTTTGAACCAGCAGCTCTGTGTGAGGACAGCGTGGCTCCTTAAAGCCGACCAAAAATGTTTTTAAATGCGAGTTGAGGTTTGTAAAATAAAATGTTCAAGCTCAGGATTTTTCAAATTAGAAGTTAATTAAAATTTCCTTTTTTTTTCTGAACGTTTTCATCAAGCGTTGTAACGAAACAGTAACATCTTGTCAAGTAAAAATAAAAGAATCTGTTGTGTAAAAACTCACTGCCTCCGTGCTCGTTGTGCACGTTTGATGTGAATGAAAATCTGTTGTTTTCCAACTAATCAGACGTCGGCTTTGAATAAAGACACATTTCTCTATTTTCAGGCTCATTTAATCTGTTCACAGAGATGAAGTCGTGATCTGGTTAGAAAACAAACAAATGGAAAAAAAAGATGATTATAAATTCATTCAGTGGTGCTTGAAAGTTTGTGAATTCTTTATAATTGTCTATATTTCTTCATAAATGACCTGAAACATCAGATTTTCACACAAGTCCTAAAAGTAGATCAAGAGAACACAGTTAAATAAATTATACCTGTCATTTATTTATTGAGGAAAATGATCCAGTATTACATATTTGTGAGTTGTAAAAGTTTGTGAACCTCTAGGAGGAGAGTCAGGTGTTTTCAATCAATGGGATGATGATCAGGTGTGAGTGTGCACCTGTTTGATTTACAGAACAGGATGCGAGTCTTGCAAAGCAGAATGGAATAAATTTAAATATATTCACAAATAAGAATCACAGACAGTTGATATGAGAGCAGATGTAAAAGGTTTGTGTTGCTTTTGTTACATCAATTACATTAATTATCAGTTTATTTAACTTTTATGTAATGTTTTAGGACATCTATTTTCTAGAACGTCTGTCTGCAGGTGAAGAGATTGTCCACTAGAGGGCACTGCTGTCCCTTAATACACAACTGAAGTTCACTAAATATGTGTTGTGTTCAAAGTCTGACGGAATTATTAGCTTTACCTGGAAACAGAGGAGTTAAGGTCCAAGGTAAAAGCTGTTGGTGTTGTCTGACATTTAAAACTCCACATTTACAGTTCTGAGACAACGAGACGACGTCTAATTCATCAAAACATCTCTGTCAGTTTACAAAGATCTTTTTCAACGGTACCTAAATTAAATCTCCATCCTCAAAATAATTAATGACATATATAATTTTAGCTTTATTTATAAGCTTAAAGGACATACAGAAGTCACATTAGTGCAAGATTTTTAAACATGCATTGATAACTGATTTATTGATAATGTTTAGATTACATATTGATCTGTCCTTATACTCTAAACAAGTACACAAAATAATCCTTGATAATTATTCACGTAAACAACAGAACAGTGCAGAGAAACCACAATACAACAGCTGTATGAAACGATACAACAGCTGTATGAAATAATACAACAGCTGTATGAAATAAAACAACTGTGTGAAAGAATGCAACATCTGTATGAAACAATACAACATCTGTATGAAATAATACAACTGTGTGAAAGAATACAACATCTGTATGAAATAATACAACTGTGTGAAAGAATACAACATTGTATGAACAATACAACTACTACTTCCTCAGGCGGCTGAGGCGAGCTGGTCTGGGAAGCTCAGTCCTCACCTCCTTCTACAGGTGTGCAGTGGAGAGCATCCTGTGCTCCAGCATCAACGTGTGGCATGGAGGCTGCACAGCTGCAGAAAGAAAAGCTTTGCAGAGAGTGGTGAAGGCTGCACAGAAGATGTTGGAGTCAGTCTCTCCATCATCACCAACATCTACACCTCCAGATACAAGAAGAGGGCCACCTGCATCATGAAGGACCACACTCACCCAGCACACACACATTTTGCCCCACTCCCCTCAGGAAGGAGGTTAAGGAGCATTAAGTGTAGAACCACTAGACTGAGGAACAGCTTCTACCCTGAGGCTGTTAGACTCATGAATCTCTAACCAGAATCATCACTGTGAAAAATCACATCATGTTGCTGCTGATCTGTTTCATGTTGCTGCTGATCTGTTTCAGTGTTGATGTGTTCATGCGTGCACATCTGCTCACAGACTCATGTTCATGTTTGTGCTGATGTTCAATGTTTTATGTTATGAGTGCTTAGTGTATATTTAGTTGATGTTTTTCTTAGTTCATATCTTAGATGTTATTACTGTTTTTCTTATACATTTTATTGTTGGATGTAACTGGGACCCTGTGGACATAATTTCGCTCCACCACATGTACCACATGAGGTGCGAATGACAATAAAGAAACTCTGACTCTGACTCTGACAACAGCTGTATGAAATAATACAACTGTATGAAACAATACAACATCTGTATGAAACAGTATATCTGTATGAAACAATATATGTGTTAAACAATACAACATCTGTATGAAACAATATATATTTGTTAAACAATACAACAGCTGTATGAAACAATACATCTATATAAAACAATACAACAGCTGTATGAAAC